CGCCATCTCCGCTTGCACCTGGACTGCATGGCTCAGATTCTCAATGCTTCGGAGCCGCACGTGCCAGTCGTTCTGCTTGTAGTCGGCGACGACAACCTCACTTTCCAGGAGGCGCGGGAGGCTTACCAGCGCCAGCAGAACGACGAGAAGCTCTGGGAGGTCCATGCCACTCCGGCCGACCTCAAAGGCGACCACGTCGCGGTCTGCGGAGCAGTCGCCCGTTTCTGCTCCATTGCCGTTGGCGCGTCTTTTACGGATCGTGGCATGCGCAACGACGCACACGATGCGGTGGCGGTTGTGCTCACTCTCCCTGGTGCTATTCAGCCTGGGGAGAGCAAGAGGCGGAAGATTGTCGTCGAAAACGTCTCCGACGCCGACGTCAGCGTACAGGCGGACGCCGAGTCTTCTGTGCATTGGGATCGGTCGCCGAGTTCTACTCCTCCGCTTTCACCGACTTCACCGGGTGATCCCGACTACGTCGAGGATGTCGTTCAGAATCGCGCGAACGACTTGCACAGGGAGCTGAGGCAGCTTTGGGACGAAAGGTACGACGAGGAGTACGATCCGAAAGTCCTCCATCATCTCAGTCTCTTGCTTTTCAAAAAGAGGAAGTCCACGGAGCCAGCGGACACTGATCCAGCTGGCGCTCCTCAGCATGGCTCGGAATATGACGCGGCCTTTGCGTCTCAGGAGGAGACTGGCCGAGCCATTCTCTCTGTCCTTAAGCTTCGACATGACTTTCTGCGGAGCAAGAACATCGACGACATGCGCTACGTTCTCACGGAGCCTGAGCGCCAGGAATTGGTCAGAGTAGCTCGCGACCAGTACGAGCAGTCGCGGCAGCAGCGTGCGCTTCAGGAACGGGATGTCGAAAAGGGAAAAGCGAGAGGCAAGTCTGCGCCACAAGGGGGCCATGCGGTTCCGCAGGGTCCTAACAAAGGGCCAGGCGGTAAGAAAGGTTCTCACGGTGCTTCTCAGCCTGCGGGAAAAGGTGGCCAGGCCAAGGGTGCAGGTCTGGGTAGCGTCGCCAAGTTTGTGAAAGACCAGAAGCGTAAGCGGTGGCATCGCCATTTGCAACGTGTGGCCGGTACCAAACAGATCTGGGAGGTGCTGGCCTTCTCAGGGCGCTTCGACGTTGATTGGCTAACGCAAGCGTTGCAAGCTGATCACAGTGAGGGCCGTGATGCAGCAGTTCCCGAGGAAGCTCTGCGGCAACAGCGGCGCCGGCTGCACCACCAGAAGGCCGAGGCCATCGCGCGCTACAACGAGGGGGAGCGGCTTTCCCGCCATCTGTCTGCCCAGGCTGGCCAGCCAAAGCCGAACTTCACGCGCAGGCAGCTGGACGTGTTGCAGATGTTTGAGAGCGGAGAGCTGCTTCAAATCCGCAACCAAGCGATTCTGGCGTTGGGGCACGGCCGTCTGTTCAGGGCCGATGGCGACTACCTGGACATCGGCGGCAGCACGGGCGGTGGCTCCAGGCGCATCATCGATTCTTGGCAGCCGCCGGACTGGCGTGACTTCCTCCAAGACGATCAGGACATCTGAGTTTTGCAAGTCTCCCTGCCCGCGGTGCTTCTCAGCCTGCGGTCTGCCGCTCTCCAGCTGCGGTCTCGAGCAGTAGTGTTCGAAAGCATGCGAGTTCCTGCGGTGCTTCTCAGCCTCTTGGGGCCTCTTGGGGGCCTCTTGGGGCCTCTTGGGGCCTCTTGGGGGCCTCTTGGGGGCCTCTTGGGGGCCTCTTGGGGCCGCTTGGGGGCCTCTTGGGGGCCTCTTGGAGGCCTCTTGGGAGCCTCCTGGGGGCCTCTTGGGGCCATCTTGGGGCCTCTTGCGACCTCCTCAAAAGCGCAAATGAGAGCTGCCCCCTGAGAAGGACAAAATGAGCCGAAAACCTTCGTAAAATCAATGATTTTGCTGTGAAGGAAGATGAGCGCGGCCCCCTCAGGACGCCAAAATGGGGCCAAAACCGTAGTACAATCAATGATTCTGGCTTTAAAGAAGAGGAGGGGGACCAGACGGTGCCCCCCCGTCGGGGCCAGAATCCTCGTGAGGGTCGTCGTTTTTTTAGCCCTCCCAGGAGTCGAAAAAGACCCCTCAAACGACCCGCGGGGCGCCCTCTCCAGGCCCAGGGGGAGGGGGTAGGGGGAGGGGTAAACCCCTCCCCGAAGGGGAAGAAGGGGGGTTGAGAACAGAGCGGGCTCCCTAAACCACTCACGCCCAAAGGGCTGGTGGGATTGATAAGGAGCAGTGATCAAACCCGAAGGGCGGCCGTAAGCCCTCGCGTTCCGCCCTCCCACCACATGATTAAAAGCCGAGTACCACCAGCCCTTGGAGGGCCTCTTGGAGCCTCGTGGGGCCTCTTGGGGGCCTCTTGGGGGCCTCTTGGGGGCCTCTTGGGGGCCTCTTGGGGCCTCTTGGGGCCTCTTGGGGGCCTCTTGGGGGCCTCTTGGGGGCCTCTTGGGGCCGCTTGGGGGGCCTCTTGCCCTGACTCTTACTCCGACTCGTGCAGTTCGCCTTACTCTTACTCTGACTCTTACTCTCACCGTTACTCTTGCTCTGACTCTTCCTCCTCCTCCTCTTCCCTTCTTCCTCGTCCCCCTTGATCTCGCCTCCCAGCTAGGAGCTCTGGTGTTTCCTCGGTCGTGCTTCGTTTTCTTTTGGTCGTGTAGCGTTCCTGACAGTCCAAGACCAGCTCGTCGTCGCCAGTCGCCAGTCGCCTGTCGACCGCCCTCCAGACGCTGTCTCAGATGATGTGGCTCGCCGTGGATGGTCCGTCTGGGCATGGGCGTACGGTGCCGACGCTCGACCATGCGGACCTCGTCCTGGCTCAGAACCACCGCATCGCAGGTCCTTCGGAGGTCAATTGTTATGAGTTCGGCACGGTCTCGGTCAAGTACAGCGTGCTGTGGGGATCCCGAGATGGGGCCTGGCTCAAGGTGCTCAAGACGTACTGGAGTGTCCCAGAGCCGGAGTGCCAGCTGATCCTCGGGAGTTGGAACGGCATTTTCAGGCCGTGGCCGGACACGTTCTGGATCAGGACGGGGGGGTCCGAGCCCGAGATGGAGTGCTAGCGCTCTGCAGTACAAGTGCTTTTCAGCATGCGACATCCTGCGGTGCTTCTCAGCCTGCAGGGTTCGCAGCGTGCGGTTTGCAATGCATTCCTTTTCAGTATGCGAGTTCCTGCGGTGTTTCTCAGGTTGCAGGGCTCCGAGGCTCTTCGCTTCGATGCCAATGTTTTCAGACACCGTAGCTCCGTTCCGTAAACATCTTCCAAGAGCCGCTCGCAACCTTTTGCAGCTGGCGGTCTGCAGACGTAGTCTGTCTCAGCATGCGAGCTCCCGCACGCTTCGCCGGCTTTTGCTGCGCGGACAATTTTCTCACACACGTCAGCGCCGTTTGTAGGCGTCAGAAAAACATGTAGACATTCACGAAGGGCTCAGTCTGTATATCGTCACATCATTACATACGCAGTCGTCGAACACATCGGTGTACATTCAGCGCTTTGTCCTTCTAGCTGGGTCGCTTCGTGCTGAGGCTGAGGCTGATGCAGGCTGAGGCTGAGGCAGGCTGAGGCTGAGGCCGAGGCCGACGGCAGACTGAGGCTGAGGCTGAAGCAGGCTGAGGCTGAGGCAGAGGCAGGCTGAGGCTGAGGCTGAGGCTGAGGCAGGCTGATGCTGAGGCAGGCTGAGGCTGAGGCTGAGGCTGATGCAGGCTGAGGCTGAGGCAGGCTGAGGCTGAGGCCGAGGCTGAAGGCAGACTGATGCTGAGGCTGAAGCAGGCTGAGGCTGAGGCTGAGGGCTGAGGCTGAGGCAGGCGGAGGCTGAGGCTGAGGCAGGCTGAGGCTGAGGCTGTGACTGCGACTGCCGTTGCCACTGCGACTGTCATCGCGAATGCGACTACGATTGCGAGAACAGCAGAATTCTACAACTGGATTCTCATCCGAATCTTAAGGGGCATGCTTCCAGATATGCTCCTACACATGGCTGTTCGGTTGCTTTGCCGGGATAATTTTCCAGCAGCCATGACAATGGTATCATGCTGCTGTGCATACGGTGTGTGTGTGTGTGCGCGTGTGTGTGTGTGTATTAGTGGGGCCCTGGAGGGCCTCTTGGGGCCATCCTGGAAGCTATCGATCAAAAAGGGTGGCCCAAATTTCCGTTCGCCTCTTGCGCCCATCAACATCGTACATTGGAGCGTTCTTGGGGCGCTTTCGGGCCGATCTTGGGCCTCTTGGGGCCGTTTTCGGGGCCTCTCGGGCTCCTCTTGGGTCTCTGTTGGGCCATCTTGGGGCATCCCCGAGACTTCAAAAGCGCGTTGGAAGCGAACAGGCGAGATCGCAACGGTTGTCATCCTGTGGTTGTTGCAGAATTTTGGCCTCTTGGGGGTATCCTGAGGGTGCTCCGAGAGCACTTGGATCTGTCTTGTGGCCCTCATCGGGCCTGTTGGAGGTAGGTCGGAAGCTATCTTGAACCATTTTCGGCTATCTTGAGCCGTTTGGGAGCCATTTTGGAGTATCGGAGGCCTTTTTGGGACCATTTCGGGTCATCTTGGCGCCCTGACCGATCGCGGAGGGGCGGGTGCCCCCCCTAAGGGAAGAGGGTTCTGAAAGGGGAAAGAAGGAACCGCTGTCGGAGGAGTACTTGCGCAAGGTTTCGCCCTTCTTGGAGCAGGTGCAAGGAGCCCGTGCATATGTTTCTTTCGAGTGTGTCGACCTCCGAGCGGCGATGCGGACTATGTCAACTCCGGCAGCAGGCCCAGGTCAGGTTTCTGCTGCGCTACTTCGTCGGGCACCGGCGGCAGCTTTCCAGGGGCCCGCATATTTCGGCAATGTCATTTCAGTCATTTCGTGACATGGGCGTTTTCCGGAGGCACTGCGGCGGCAGGAGGCCGTCCTCATTCCAAGGCTGTTCATCTCGGATGTCTGGCCTTTGGGCATTGCGTCCTCTGTGTTCCGGGCCTTTTCGAAGAGGCTCTTGCGAGCCCACTCCGCATGGGTTCGGAACATAATGCCCACAGATGCTTTTGGTATCCTGTTGGCAGTGGAGGGCGCCATCCAGCAGAGGGAGCGCGGCAATTCGGGCCTTGTGATCATCCAGACTGTCTTGAAGAATTGTTTCGGCCATGTATGTCCGCACTTGGTGGACGTCCTTGCTCTGCGCCTGGGCATGAACGCGGAGTGCTCGCGCTTCCTTTTTCTCTCCAATGTGTCAAGGCCGATGTTTGTGCGTCCATCAGGCGATGTCCCACCACGTGGGGAATGCCACAGGGAGATCCAGCGTCACCAGCAGCTTGCGCCATACTGGCGGGGTCTCCATGCCAGGTACATGTTTCACCATCATCCTTACCTTCCTTTCCATACGTACGTAGACGATCCGACTTTGCTCGGCAAAACTTGGGCGCAAGTTGCGGCTGCCAGTTGGACAGGCTTTCCGGGCAGCGGGAGGACCCGGACAAGGAGACCATCGCGGCCCTCGCGGTGGGTGACCTTCCTGATGGGCTGACCGTGGACACGTTCATCGATCTCCTCGAGGTACGGTTGGACCTCCAGGATTCTCATCCGCCTCGGCTTGCGCCGCGGACAGTCCGGAGATTCGACAGCTTCGAAGACAAACATTCCTGGGCAATCTGTGTCGCTAGTGCGGCTGGCCTTCCGCTTGCGCGCTGCGTGCTCCCGGCCCTGGCGTGCATGTCGGCTATCCGTTGGGGCGCTTCCTGGGTTGAGTTTTCGGATCGGGACGTGGGACAGCAGTGAAGCGCATCCTCATCGGCCACCAGTTTCAAAGTTGGCGGCATCGAGGTGCGGCTTGGGCACTCGTGGACAAAGCTTGGCTGGTAGAGCCCATAGCCATCATCTTTTCCACGGTTTTAAGGCAATTGCGGGCCACGCTCCAGAATTCCACGGAAGCCTTGGTTCGTCTCTTGTGGCGGCAGACAGATGACATGGGTGCCAGGCATCAGGGAGTACGTCCGTCTGTTCGGTGGGTGCGCTGGGTGCAGGCGACCATTTGCGAGATGGGCTGGCTCCTCACTGCCTCCCCGTATGTCTTCGACTTCCGTGGCGAGCAGATCGGCTTGGCGTCCATAGAGAAGGGCAAGCTTGGGCACTTGGTGCGCGACGCCTGGAGGTTCTACGTGATGGCAACGACCAAAACCACAAGGCACATTGATGTCACAGTGCCGCCCCTGGAAATTCGCGTTTTGCATGTATTCGTTGGATCGTGGTCTGGGCGCCGCGACTGGCCTTGGGCGTGGCGATGCTGCGTCGGCGCGGAGCCGAGTGCCGACCGATTGCATGAGCTCGATTCTGCTATCGACTACACCTCTGCTGTCTGCTGGCTGTCTAACACGACCAAGCACTGGCTGTGGGTGTGCCCCTGTGCGCTTCCGGAACGGCGGCGGCGGCAACTCTCCCCGCCGCCACAGGTCACAACGGGTTTTCTGAGTATATCGGCGTCGATGACGATTGAAATGATGATGATGATGATGATGATGATGATGATGATGATGATGATGATGATGATGATGATGATGATGATGATGGTGGTGGTGGTGATGATGATGATGATGATGGCGACGATGATGACGATGATGAAGATGGTGATGATGATAATATTGCTGATGCTGGTTGTGTCGGTGTGGTGATGATGACGATGTTGGCGACGATGACGATGAAAACGATGATGTATTGAGTTTGTTGCTGCTGCTGATGATGATGGTGATTATCAGGATGAGGAGGAGGAGGTGGAGGAGGCGGATGACGTAAATTCCGATGATGATGATGGTGAGGCAGGCTCTGAAGAATTGCGCGCCCTTGATTTCCAGATCTGCGGCCGATCCATCCTGGTCGCGAAAGTAGGGGGAGCTCTCTCCAAGCTAAATTTCAGAGATGCTGACAAGTTCAGAGCTAAGAGGCTCAAGGCCCCTGCCACTCTTGAGCTCATTTCAGATGCGAATGGCCATGGCCTAGTACGAGTGGGGAAGAGAACCGCTTGCATCAGATGTGGAATTCGAGACTGGTCCAGAGGTGCAGTGACCTCGTTCCCGTGCACTGGGCACCCCAGAGCTGTTCGATTATCGCACCCCTCCCATAGGCTTTGGAGTGGTGAGGTGGTCGTTTTTTGTGAAGTGTCTGTGGGGCGTTCGGCACTACCAAGGTGGTCCTCCTTGCAAAGCCTTGCCACAACGGCCCCAGGAATAAGGCTGCCTGCAAAACCCTTTCCCTCCTCAAGAGTGGGATCGACCCGTCGTCGGGGGTGCAGTTTGGCAGATCGGTGCCGTTTCGTCGAGGATGACCCCTGGTATGTGCCGTGCGTACATCTACTATACTACCCCATGTTTGCTCCAGGTGTTGCTCCAGGTGTTGCTCAAAATTGGACGCGGTCCCTCACTTTCCCTCCCTCTCCCCCCTCTCCCTCCCAGCCTTCATTCGCATTTTATCTTTCTTCCTCTTGCGCCTTACCATTCCTCGCCTCCACTTTTCCCTTCTCCGCCCTTTCCCTCCTCTCCCCTTGCCACCCCCTTGTACCGCTTCCCTTTCTCCCCTTCCCGCTCTTTTCGGTCCAGCTCCCCCTCCCCCCCTGGCACCCCCCACCTTCTCCTTACCGCTCCCCCTCCCAGGCCCGCGCCACGCCACCGGCCATGAGACCGATGCCGCCGCACGTCGGCGCGAGCACGCGACGAGCGACGAGCGCCGCTGTCCGCCCGGGCCGGCCGCCTGCGCCCCCTGAAGCGGCACGGCCAGGGCGGCGCGCACGCGCAACAAGCCACAAATCCTGCGCCCTCGGCCCGCCCTGTGCGCCCCGATCGCGGCCGCGCGCCGGCTCGGGGCGGCGCCCTGCCGTTCCGGGAGCCTCGAGACGGGGGTCAATGCAGACGGGGGTCAGCCAGAGCTCCGTTGCTTGCAGGATCCTTCGGGGCCAGGGTCGCACCGACCCGGGTTTGGGTGCAGGACCCTGCAGGATCCTGCAGGATCCTTCGCACCGACCTGGGCTTGGGTGCAGGATCCAGGGATCTCGCAGGATCCTGCAGGATTCTGCAAGGCCTGGCTGACCCGGGTCTGGGTTGGCCCGGGTCAGAAGATCCCCGACCGTTATGGCACGTATCTCGGGCATAGCCAGGACCCCAGGTGAGGCCCTGGAGTAGATGACATGCTCGTGCCTGCCACTCCCCAGGTTTCGGCGTGTTGTTCCCGCCCGTGTAGCCCAGTGGACTTCCAGGCAGTTTTGGCTCAGGATGCAGTGTCGGGTATAGCCAGGACCCCAGGTAAGGGGACCCGGTTAGTGGTAGGGCCCTGGAGCCCCTAAGTTGGCCAGAATCATTCCAGCAGGTTTGCCGCAGCTTGTGTTTTTTTCGGGTGACGGCAGTTCCGGTTATAGTGGAACGGGGCGGGGACGCCCCCTTACTAAACTGGGTCCCACCAAACCCAGTTCTGCCAACGCCCGAACGTAGGCGCCATGCTATCCCGCCGCTCTGCGGATGTTCGGAGGTCGTCACGTGCAATACTGCGCTGGTGAAGCGGAGTGGGGCTCGCTTGAAGCCTTGGGGGGCATCTTCAGGCCTCCCCGCAGTGTGTTTCTCTCTCACTCTCTCTCTCTCTACCTCTTCATTCTCTCTCCCTCTCTCTTTCTCTACCTCCTCTCTTTCTCTCTTTCTCTCTCTCTCTCTCTGTCTCTCTCTCTTCGTCATCCCTCTACCTTCCTATCCTCGTCTCCCCTGGGCGGCCTCCAGAGGGTTCCCAGAGGGATCTCCGAAGGCCCGAGGACAAGCCACAGGCGTCAAGATGCCTCTATATACAGTCAAGGCGCTGAGACAAGAACCGCTTTGGGCACAGCAGGGGCGTCGCCCCAACATACTTGCACTAGACGTGCACCGCCCCCCCAGGGGCGATGCTCGCACCGAGAAATCTTATAGTATACAGTCGGCCCGGATTAGTAGGTCGACCCTGCCAAGCCAAGGGTGCCCTTGTGTCTTGTGTCTAGCGTCCCATGCCCATGCCTCCTACACTCCTGTGGCAATGTGGCCCTCGGAAGGGTCTTGTATCCTCTCGCGTGTCCTGCCCAATCAAGTCCGACTGTATGCGCCGTGGCGGGCGCTTTCTGGCCACACCGCTCGGGAGACGATCTACTACAAGATGGGTATACCATGTAATTGCGTCGGACGCGCACCTCCAAGGAGAACATGTATCAGGAGGGAAAGAAACACACAAACACAATTAATCGTCGATTCCCCAGAAAATATGGGATTATCCCAGAGCGACCCTACCTAGGAGTTGGAGCCCCGAGGAGAGCAATATTAGTAGTAACGGTAAACGCCGTCTTCCTCCTTCTCCTCATCGTCGCCGTTGTCGCAGTTTGTTTTTGCTTTTGCTTTGATTTGCTTTGCGTTGCTTGTGCTTTGCTTTGCTGTTGCTGCTGTTGCTTTGCCCTTGCTTTGATGCTTTGATATGCTATGGTATGCTGTGCTGCGCTATGCTATGCTATGCTATGTTATGCTGCAGTATGTTGCGCTATGCTATGCTATGCTATGCTAGGGTATGCTAGACTGCGCTATGTTATGCTATGATATGCTATGCTATGCCATACTGCGCTTTGCTATGGTATGCTATGCTATGCTATGCTATGCTATGCTATGCTGCGCTATGCTATGCTATGTTATGGTATGCAGCGCTATGCTATGCTAGGCTAGGCTATGAAATGCTATGCTGTGATGTGCTATGATGTGCTATGTTATGATATGATATGATATGGTATGCTGCGCCATGCTATACTACGCTAGGTTATGCTATGCTGCGCTATGAAATGCTATGTTCTGCTATGCTATGATATGCTGCACTATGCTATGCTATGGTATGCTATGATATGATATGATATGCACTGATATACTGCGCTATGCTATGCTATGCCATGATATGCTATGCTGTGATATGCTATGCTATGCTATGCTATGATATGCTGCACTATGATATGATACGATATGCTATGCCATGTTATGATATGCTGCGCTATGCTATGCTATGCTACGCTATGCTGTGCTGCGCTATGCAATGTCGCGCTATGCTATGATATGCTATACTATGCTATGCCATGCTGAGCTAGGCTAGGCTAAACTAAGCTAAGCTAAGCTAAACTGAGCTAAGCTAAGCTAAGCTAAGCAACACTAAGCTAAGCTAGGCTAGGCTAGGCCAATATAAGCTAAGCTAGGCTAGGCTCGGCTAAGCTAAGCTAAGCTAAACTAAGCTAAGTTAAGCTAGGCTAAGCTACGATGAGATAAGCAACGCTAAGCTAAGGGGGCGCAACTGGGGGAACCGCGGGGCGGATACCGGGGGAACCGCCCGGGCCGGTTCCCACTGCCCGGCCCCTTTAAGCAAAGAGAGCTAGAACCCTTCTAGGCAGAGCCTAGGTAGGGAAATGTGGAAAGTGGGGGGGAAGACGAAAAGCCAGAAAGTATGGGAAACTATGGGGACTTTTTTATGTGTATTTATTTGTGTGTCCCAGGGCCCCTTCAATGTAGCACGAGTATGTCTTTGTGCGTCCCGCAGCCGGGGCCCTGGTTGCTGGTGCCGCTTCCCAGGTTTGGGCCGCCGAGCCTATTCGTGGCCGAGGCTCGCCGTGGCCAGACGGAGCCGCTCCGCCCCTTGCCTGGCGCTCCCCATGTGGTGGCACTCAGGAGGAGAAAGAACACACAGACACAATTCATCGTCGATTCCAAAGAAAATATGAGAAAACATGGGGAAGGGGGGGGAAGACAAAAACCCAGAACAAAGAGGAAAGTATGGGACATCCTTTTATTTGTGTGTACTTGTTTGTGTGTCCCAGGGCCCCTTCAAGCACAATGGCCACCAAAAGCGAAGGAAAACGAAAACAAAACGAAAACGAGAAACACCGTTTAGGTTCAGCCCTGCCTGGCGCTCCCCTGTGGTAGCACAATGGCCACCTCCCCCCCCCCGCCGCTGTCCCACGGCGCCTGCCGCCTCTGGACAGGCCGCCCCGCGGGATCGAGAGCGGAGCCCTCGGCGTCGATGGGGGCGCCTGCCGTGAGTTCTGAGCCGCCCGTCGGCGGCGCCTGGGGCCCCCTCGCTTGCCGCCCTGGCGCTCTCGGCCCAGACCCCCTCGCGTTGTGAATCGGGAGCGGCAAAGAGGGGGGTGATGACTAAGGGGGGGTGGATATCATGGCGGGGGCCATGATATTTCCCCAGATTTCATGGCGCCTCTTCTTATTTCATTACGTCCCTGGCCCCCCCGCTGGGCCGCGCACATGCCGCTGGCCATGATTTGCACCCCCCCCCTCTCGGACGCCCCCCTCTTGGCCGCTCCCGAGTGAAAACAAAAACACGACGGGCGGCTTTCTGCTATTTTCTGCCTCCGGGGGCCCTCATCGGGCCTCGGGGCCGTCAAAAAAGGACTCAGGATGCAAAACCGATCCCGGGGAAGGGGTGCAGACTTCTGGGAGTCGACGTCGTGACAAAAATCACGACGTCGGGGGTCTGGGGGTGTCATACCTTCGGAGGAGGGGGGGTTAAGTAGGCGGAGCTGAGGACGAGGAGGGTCGGGATGGAGGAGAGAAGGGGGGAGGTGACGGAGGATGGGGGGAGGAGGAGGAGCAGGAGGAGATCCGTAGCCATTTTGGCTCAAGCCATTTTGGCTCAAGTCCGGAGCCATTGTCAAGGTGGTTGGACAGTGAACCCAGATTTGCCCAGGGTAGGAAGGCTCACGCCTCTTCCTGGCCTGCATTTGCTTGAGTTTTGATTTTTCTCGCGCGCACCCAGACCAGCTGGCCCAAGCAGGCGGACGCTTGCTCCCGCACCACCAGTAGAGTCATTGTATGCCTGCCACATGGCGTTGCGGGAAATGCAGCAGAGAGGTGCCTATGAGGCACTGGCAGTGCTTGTGTGGCTACAGGTGGCGACAGCGTTCATCCAGTCGACAGAGGGCGAGATCGGCGAGCCGAAGCACACGAGAGCAACAACAGTCGACAGTTCAGCCGACCCCGCCATATCGACCTTTCCCGATGAAAGGACGCACTGGGCCAATCACAAGAAACGAGATTCGACAAGTGGTGGACTCGGTTCTTACGGCGTCAAAGGCAGTGGCGGAGGCGCATCCAAAGTATCAGCAGCCACCGCCCAGCAGAGCGCAGCAGGATGCCTACAAGAACGACGTCAACCACCACATAGAGGTTCTCGCGACATTGGTGGTGGCCACGCGGAGATCTGGTGCAGAGGATCAACCGTCAATCGAGCACATTGCGGTCCTGAAGTATGCGATCGCAGCACTGGATCCAATCAGCACCAGAATGGCGCAAACCAAATACGAGATCGCGATGACCACCGATCAGATCGAGAAGCTAGATCACAATATCGAGGAGCTTCAGACGCAAAGAGAAGAGATGGCACAGAAAGTATCAGGGCTAATGGAAAATATGCAGGACCTGGAGGCCTTGGAGGAAGAAGAGAAGACGATGAAGCAACAAGAGGCGGCGGCACACAATGTCACCCCACCGCCTGCAAGGCCAGCGGCGGCACCACCCTTCACGGCAACGCACGGAATGGCTGCGGGACCGTCAACAACGGCATGGCCGACTCCACAGATCCCAGTCCAGAGCCCATTCGTTCCACAGCAGCAGGGGATGACCCCCCCGCCGAGATCCAGCAGCTCATGCAGATGTGGACGCAGCAGCAGGCGGCGCAGCTGGCCAAAGGAACAGGCAAAGGAGGGACGTTCATGCCATGGCTGGCCTCAGGACCTCCACCGCCATCGCAGATGCCACATCGTCCATCGTCGAGCCCAGGTGCGAAGAGAGAAGGACCAACTCACCCGCCCAGCGAACAGCCCTGCCTCGAGCACCAGGTCAAGCAGCAGGGGAGCGAGGACGACAGGATGGTGGACGCGGATTTCAACGGCCTGATCTGCGAAGGCACCGCGACCCCGTTGCCAGCGTCGCAGACGGCGTCAGCAGCATCCGCGTCAGTTGGAGGGATTCTGACAGCGCGGCAGATTGCATAACTACAGAAGACGAACAGCATGCAGCCGATCATGGTATCTCAATCAATCGGGCCCGTCGCAGGCCTTGTACCAGAGGGGTGCCATATGGTGACCAACGCAGATGTGAAGCAACCCGAACAGCCAGCAGCAGGCCATGTCTCAGTGCTCACAGCCAGAGGCGGTGGCCTTCGTGGACCCAGCGCAGCTGGCGCCAACGCAGCCAGCATCCCAGCAGGCGCTGATTCAGGGCCTGAAGGAGAGCCTCACGGACGACACCTGAACGACGTGGCCAGCATGCAGCAGAAGGGGGAGTGCTTGATGAGGGAAGACTTGATGCATGGGGCGTCGCCTTCCGTGTCGTCAACTCCCACGGCAGCTGTGGTGAATGAGCCCGCCTGCTCTTTTCCCATGCCAGATTCACAGTCATTTTACACTGGAGATGACCTAGGGATTGAGGTCAACACCAGCAGCCAGCTGGCATGGACCGCCAGCAAACTGATTCGAAGGTCCCTCGAGGCAACAGCCTTACGGGCAGCGTTTTTCATTTCGAATATTTACCCGGACATTCGGCCAGGGGAAAACGCCCCCCCCCCCCTCCCCCAAAGAGGTCCAAGGGGAGGAAAAGCAAAAAAAAGTCTGCTGGGGAGTTTCACACATTAGATAGTACGGTCCTGGTCATAGAATAGGGCAGGGTAGGCTCGAGTCCAAAGGCGACCAACGGACGATGCTTCAACATTCAGGGATGCATAATTCGGAGCTGGCCCACCAGGGCTCCGCAGGAGCCTCGCCCCCTTCCTCGAGTGCCTCCCCCCCCCCCCCCCCGCGGTGGCTCATCCCCTGGGGGGGATGGCGGTTCGTGCGTCGTCTTGCCCCCCCCCCCTCTTGGCCCCCCCGTGTCCGCTCGAGAGAAAAGCGCCGCCCATCATCATGAAGGCCAAGAGGGCAAGGGCGTGGATGGTCAGAGCCAGCGGGAGCATAATGAAAGCGAGCAAGACAGCACGAGACGTTACTTGTGCACGGTTGAAGCTTGCAAGCTCATCCTGGAAGTCATTTTGTCCTCTCCCGCCCCCCTCCTCGAGCTGGCGCCCCTGCAGGAGATGGCCCAAGCGGGAGTGATTGAGGACGTTCCCAGGATAGCGATTAACATGGCCCCTCCAAGACCCATAACTCCTTCTACCTTTCACATATATACTGATGGGTCCCACTACGGGAAAGGAATGCCCCGCGCGGCATGGGCCTTCGTGGTCATAGCAGAAGGCGCGGACGGTGTCTCTACGTGGGGATGTTGGAGGCGTAAACTCGAGGACTCTGGCTCCATGGGGCTCAACATTGAAAACTCGACTAGCACGACTTTGGAGCTTCTGGGACTTATTTGGGCTGCGTTGTGGGTTATCACGTGTCCTTTTGAGGCGGAGTTCCATATCGTCAGCGACTCGCTCAGTGCGATAGGTGCGGCTATTGGGCAGAGCTGCACGCGATCTGATAGAGATCTCGCGAGGCTCTTTACGCAGATTTGGGCCGTTGCTTGCACGCAGAAACGGGTGAGCATATCGCGTGAGAAATGCCACAGCGGACATCATTGGAACATGCTTGCTGACAATCTTACTAAAGCTACGGCCTGTGATAGCATTCCCCCCTCGAGCGTGCATGTTTCCCCTCTCTTGGGCGCGGGCGATTTTTTACACGCGCAGTCGCGAGTGGGGGTGGGTTGAGGCTGTGCAAAGTAGGGGAAAGGAGGATGGAGGAGCTTACCCCAAGGTCACTCTGGGTAGCCAAGGAAGCTTGCCCGGCGCCCTTCCCTCCTCTCAAGTGATCTCCACCCCTCTGGACGCTCCTGAAAGGAGGCGCAGCGGGGGCCCCTTAATTAGATTGCGAATGGCTACTTTCAATGCGCAGCCCCTCAGAGCCGACGGCAGAAGAGGCACCAAGGGGAAGCAAAGACAGGCCCGCTTGCTCCTCTTTCAGGAACAGATGTTTAAGGATGGGGCCCATTTGATCGGGGTCCAGGAAGGCCGAAACGCCCGAGGTACCCGCCGACAAGGCAACTTCATGGTTTTTTCGGCCGGCCATGATATGCACCCCGTATAGCGAGAAAGGTGACAAGGCGTGGTGTTTCAAAAAACAGCATATCCAGATTCTTCATATGACTCCACGCATCATGGTTGTGCAAATTGTTGCTCCCGCCTTTCGCGCCACTGTTGCTGTCGCCCACGCTCCGCACACGGGAGCTTCCCCCATCGAGTGTCAAGCATTTCGGCGAGAGGCTGCTGAGTTAAATCTGCGGTGGCCGTCAGATTTTCTTTTCATTGATGCGAATGCTAGGCTTGGATCACACCAAAGCAAGGCCGCGTCGTCCAGCGGGCCTTCGACAGAAGAAGACATAAATGGGCGTCTCATGCACCAGACTATGCTGGAGAGTGACCTCATTGTTGCCAATACTTACCGCTGCACGGGGGATGGATACACGCATCACATTAGAAACGGCCCCCCCCCCACAGGATTGACTATGTTGCGATCTCCCCCCATTGGTTCCCCGCCCTCCAGGGCGCCGCGGTGTTGAAATATCTGGGCCATCTTAGGGGGCATAACGATCATCTGCCCGCTGTTGCGCCATTCGAGTGGCATGCTAGTGGGGGCGCCAAATCCAACCACCCCCCCATGTTGGACAAGAATAAAATGAGCGACCCTCAGGCGTGCCAAGATTTCTCGTCCCAACTGGAAAAGGCGAGCCCCCCCCCCCCCCCCCCCCCCCCGGGATCTCGACCTCAACCTCCACTGCGATCAGGTGTTGGATGTTTTGCATAGCTGCTCCCAGGCTGCTTTCGGGAAAGCTAAGGTCAGACCCAGGAAACCGCACATTTCCCCTCCCACCTTTGTTTTGATCCGCGCCAGGAGGGCGATTCGCAAGACCCTCTACTTGCTGAGAGTTAACACTGCCCGAGGTGGGCTTTTGCCCCAAACCGAGCAACAGGCTGAGGATTTGACCAGTCCGTCGCAAGAGCACGGGATGCTCTCCCACCTCGTAGGCAGAGTTCTTCATCTCGCTGTCAGTCTCAGCATGGGAGATTTCGCATATGAGATCCAGCTCGGACAGAAGGCGGAGGCCAGCCTCCTCCTCTTCCATCCCCTTGCCCATGTTTGCCCCCCCCCCCTCCAGGCGGCCTCTGCCCAGTTTGTCAAGAAGAGCATGGCTCTGTTTGAATTTCGGCTGCACTTGGTGTCTTTTACAGCGAGCGCGCACGAGCAGTTGCAGACGGCGCTCGATCACGATATCCGTGCCTTTTTGATGAAGCATGAGCAGGACACCAAAACCTCGATAGAAGAAAGGAACAGCAGGGCCGAATGGAACCATGTGCGCACTTTGTTGAGCTTCGGTGGAAAAAAGACACAGGGCCCCTTTGGTGACCCCCATCAGGAGGACCCCCGATGTATCCATAATAAGCAGCCCTCAAGAATACGTTGACGATATGCAACATCACTTTGCTAAGGTTGAGTCAGGGGTTGAGATGTCACGCGAACGATTCCATCTGGATTACAATGCCAGCCAAGGGAAGTTGAATCAAGAGGTTGAGAAGAAGGTCGAACATATCATCCCCAAAGCGGAGGTGGAGCTTTTGATCCGTCGGGCCCCCAAAGGAAAGGCCCCTGGTCCCGATGGGATCACCAACGATCTCCTGCGCGCGGCCCCCAAGGAAACCTCTCGCATCCTGCGCCCCCTCATGGTGAAAATGGGCCTGACGGCCACTGAACCTGTCGAGCTCAGGCTTGGACAGGTGGTCTCTTTTTACAAAGGAAAAGGCGACAGTAGCATGGCGGCTTTTTACCGCAGCATTCTGCTTTCTAGCACCATCCTCAAATTGTACCATGCTCATGTCCGCTCTAAGGCTAAGAATATCATCTGTAGCACCTTGAGGGAGGAACAATGCGGTGGCCGCCCTGGAGTGGGAACTGATTTTGCCTGCCTGTACGTGCGCAATAGATTGCACGACGTTGCGCTGAGAAAAAAGACGGCCATCGCTCTGTTTCTTGACCTTGTCGCCGCCTTTTATTCCGTGGCGATGCAACTGGCCCTCGCCCTCCCGCGCGAGGAAGAGCATTTTTTTGCGGCGGTCTCGGACCTGCCGGTTCCTCTTGCGTTCCGAGATGCGGTCTTGCAGCTGGCGGAGGACCCAACCATGGACGCCCTGATCGAGGATCAACACCTGTTGGAGTTGGTTCGCGCCACCCAAGCTGGGTCGCGGTGGCAGTTTCGAGGGTCCCATAAATATGTGGCCCCGACCCTCGGCGCGAAGCCTGGTACGGTTTTTGCCTGTGACATTTTTAATGCCGCGTTTGCTCCGATCGTCCGAGGGATTCAAACAGACATGGAGCAGAACCAGCTGATTTCGGAGCTTCCTGGATGCGAGGGTCCGTTCCTGGGAATCGCGGACCCAGTGGCCCCGATGGCTTCCTCCGCGCATGTTGATGACAACGCTGCGATTGGAGAAGTCGAAGATGCCAGCTTGGCCACCTGCGTTGCTGACAAAATGTTAGACATTGCGTATGAGCGCGTGAGCAACCACGGTCTGAGAATGAATGACACTAAAACTGTTGTGATGATCGAGACTGCTGGGAAACATTCCAGAATTGCCCGGCAGCACCTTTTTGGAGACAGCACGGGAGCGGGTGCTGAGGTTGCCTCAAGCGATCACGCGGTCAAGGTTCGCGTTGTGAGAACCTATAAGTTGCTCGGGAATTACCTCGCCGATAAAATTAACCGCGGCGCCTAGATTAACCACCGCGCGAGCTCCATGAGAGCTGATCTTCGGCCCATCAGGACGAGCATTGCCCCGCGTAAGGCCCTGCCTACCACCAGCAAGACTAGGTATGCCGATAGCTTTGCGGGGTCTAAGTTGTTGTACAATACGTGTGTTTGGGAACTGCTTAACAAGGGCCAACTGAGAAGAATGAGCACCACCCAGGCCGATATGCACCGAGCTGCGCTGGCGATGCCGAGGCATAAAGAAGGAAGACACCACCCGAACAGAGAAGCCTTGCATAATTCTCAGAGGGTGAGAATGGAGGTTGTTCTTAGGGTCGCCCGCCTCCGCCTGCTCCCCCGGATTTTGCCCCATGCCTCCTCATCCCTCCTCCGCATCCTTGATCCCACGTGCAACGCTGCCGGGGCGTGGGCGAACGCCCTCATGCAGGACGCGCAGTGGCTCAATACTCGGGTTAGAAAGAAAGGCGTCCCAGGACAAGGGCGTTTTGAGGACTGGGTGTCTTTTGCTGAGCAAGCGCCAAACAACTTCCTGGGGACCGTTCGCAGGGCCGCCATTAGTGACAGAAACCTGGAAAGCGAGATCCACTTCGAAAAGCATCATCTTGAGTTGTTGAGCGCCATGTTCAAATGGAGAAGAATTGATTTCACTCTTAGCCAGCCGACAGAGCAGGAAGATAATGGCACCCAGCAATATTGTTGCTACGGATGTGGTATCACTTGCTATTCGTCGGCGGCCTTGCAAACCCGCATTACGAAGACCCACCGCAGCGAGAGAGATCCTGACAATTGGGCGGCGGGGTCTTTATGCCAAATATGCCTGGCTGAATTTCATTGTCGCGCTAGATTTGTCAAACATCTTAAGAGAGTGCCAAGGTGTGCGCATTCTTGGTTGCAGAGCGGCAGGGTTATAGAGCACAACCCGGATGAAAGCAAAGCCGCTGACAGATATTCCCAGCGGACAAACAGGAAAAACGGGTTGCGTGACAATTATGCTGAGAGCAGCGCCCACCGCTTTACGCACGGGCTTCCCGTTGGACCCATGCCCCCCCCCCTCCTGCCCGCGCCCCATATCTTCCCGTCCTCTCGCAGGTGTGTCTGGATCAGGAAGGAGGCCGCAGGGATGTCGTGTCTTATTGGCTAGCGGATGTGCCCCCGCCTCACTTGCCTTGCGTTGTTATTATTGACGGTCAGGATGAAGTGGGATCCGTGTTGGAGCAACAGGCTCGCATTCAGAAGAACCTCCTAGGTCGGCAGGTTCAGGTCGTCCGCATTAGAAGCACCCAAGCGGGAGAGGCACAACTATGGGCTAGGAGGATTCTTGACGGAGTTGTGTCGGCGGTCATTAGTTCCCCCCCGACAGGACGTGGAACCCCGCTCGCAGTGGGTATGACGGGGGTTCCAGCCTCCCCCCCCTCCGCTCTGCCTCCTCCCCCCTGTGTCTCGGGACCCTCCGCGAGTTCGAATATACGCAGGTGGCTGAAGCTAACGCTCTTTGGCGTCTGTCGACCATCCTGTATTATGCGGCCGCCGAGGCCAAGATCCCACTGATTCTCACCAGCCCGAAAGGAATCGTCGGATATCCCGACCCTTGCGAGGACGAACTTGTTCGGTGGGCCAGCTTGCACAGGGACAGCTATAAGACCCACCGACCCTTGCCCCGCAGGTGGAGTCCCGACCGCGCCCAAACGATACTGTCCAGTACTGCTCTCTCGCTGCCTCCCTTTGGCAGCCAGGTGGATGTGGATGAGTGGGCGGGGGACGTGCCTCTTCTCTTCTGCACCGCCATCGTTGCCGCCGGTTATCAAGTGATGACGGGGGGGCCACGGGGAGTGACCCGTACCAGGGCACCACCGCCCATCTTGCAGGGGATGCGCCATTTGGGGGTTAACTTCCTCCTCTGCACGTGCACCGTTTCTTCCTTAGGATTGGCAGCTTGTACCACATGTCATCAGGTCGAGAGAGAGCAGGAGGAGCAGGAGGAGGAGGAGGCGGATGAGGAGGAGGAGGAGGAGGAGGAGGAGAAGGAGGAGGAGGCCGAGAGGCGGCGGAGGATAAGGCGGAGGGCGAGGGAGGCCTGTGAGGTGCTGGAGGTGAAGAGAAGCATGAATTGCTGGGAGCCCGTCCAGGGGCATGCGCGGAGGTTCAGCAGCGATGAGGCATGAGTATGAATATAGTCGTGCGTTTGAGTGAAAGGGGCGGGTTGCGGGAGTGGCAGGAGGAGATATGGTGTCGGACCACTCGATGTTTGCGACTCCGTTGCAGATCGAGCTTCAGGACGAGTGCATCAGTGAAGTCTGTCCCAAGAGCAGATGTGGCGTGCTGGCCAAAGAGCCCGCCTCGGGAATGTTATCTCTGAGGCTGCAGCGCAGCAGAGTAGCGAAGGCTCCAGGACGCCTGAGGTGCCCCTTTCACGGGGCTCATCAGCAGGTTGTTGATATCCCGTTGCCTGCGGCAAGTCCCGCCACCGTGACAGCCCGGCGATTGCGCCGCCACGTGTGACACTTCGTGTCTCCAGGTTAGGGAGACCCTTGATGAGGATGATGAGGGTGATGAGGATCATCATGCTGATGATGCTGATGATGATGACGATGATGTTGACGATGTTGATGATACAGGTGATGATTATGATGCTGCTGATAATAATACTGATGCTGATGATGATGACAGGGGTGATGTTGATGCTACTGCTGCTGATGGTGATGACGATGGTGACGATGATGATGATGATGGTGGTGGTGGTGATGATGACGATGACGATGAAGATGGCGATGACGATGACGACGATGGTGATGATAGTGATGATGAGGCTGCTGATGATGATGCTGATGATGATTAAGATGACGATGATGATGCTGATGATGATGACGATGACGATGATGATGACGATGACGATGATGATGATGGTTCTGGTGGTGGTGGTTATGATGATGCTGATGATGATGATGCTGATGATGATAGTGATGCTGTTGCTGATTATACTGCTGATGGTTATGATGGTGATGGTGCTGTTGATGCTGCTGATGATGCTGATGCTCATGCTGCTGCTGATGTCGACGGCGACGACGGCGCGGAGGGTGATGATGAGGCTGATGACGATGATGATGATGATGATGATGATGCTGATGATGATGCTGATGACGATGATGATGATGATGATGATAATGATGATGCTGATGACGATTATGATGATGATGCTGCTGATGATGAAGATGATGATGACGATGATGATGTTGACGACGATGAAGATGATGATGGTGCTGATGATGATTATGATGACCATAATGATGTTGCTGATGATGATAATGATGCTGTCGACGATGAAGATGATGCTGCTGATGATGATGATGATGATGCTGATGATGCGGATGCTGCTGATGATGAGGTTGATGATACTGCTGATTCAGAGGATGATGCTGATGCTGATGCTGGTGATCAGGCTACTGATATTGATGATAATGCTGGTGGTGATGCTACTGATGATGCTGATGATGCTGATGATGGTGATAACGATGATGACGACGACAACTTTGACGATGATGCGGATGATCCAATGCAGTAGAGACAGTCTGGAACACATCCTCGACGGCTGGCCGCGCCCCAGCCGCTTCCCTCGACGCCTCGCACGCAGCGGCAGGCCGTGCCAAGGAACGTGGCACAAGCGAGGATCAGCACAACGCTTGCGGGCGGCGCCAAACATATCGGCCACGACCATTCGCCGTTGCATGCCTGAAGCCACCAGCCTCGGGCGGTGCTGCTCAGAGTCACCTCTGGACGGAATGCGCGGCAGCGCCCAACGGCACAAGCCAGCACGGCGCAGGAATTCGTGATCCTCGGACCCACCTGCAGCCCGAGTGGAGCGTGTACATGCCTAACAACGCAGAAAGCACTCGAGAACAGAAACTACAGTTAACCCGCAGAGTAAGGGTTGGCAACCCTCCCAAGGGTACCCTTGCATCCTTGCCTCCTCGGTCCATCCTTGGCCACGTTCGTCGGCCACGCCCCGCTCGAAAACTTCGAAATGGGCTTCCAAGGGCCTTGCATCCTTATCGCGCATCCTTACTGTACGGGTTGACTGTAAACTGCACGGGGCCACAGCAGAGCAATGAGCGGCTATTGAGGCTCGGCCGCATCACCGAGGAGCATTTCGGGGAGCGCGTTGTCGCCCACGAGGGCCGTCCACGAGGCCGCCCTCGCCGCCTGAAGATCGACCTCGACGAGGAAACCGCCCCTGGTGCTTCCTCACATGAATGTGCCTCTGCCTGCCCCTTCTCTACCCTCCCGCTCGTCGTCGACCTCCTCGCCCTCCGCGTTGTCCGACCAGGACTCCGCCTTGGCATCTGTCGCCTGCTCACCCTCAGGGCCGTCCTCTGCGTGGGGACACCTCGCCAGAGGGACACCTGACACCAGCGGCATGTCAGCCCTCCAGCTCCTTCACCGCGTCCGCCTGGTCCACCTCCGAGCAGGAGAAGACGTCGGAACCGCAGTTGCACCGCATGCCGCCCTGCCCGGGCGAGGCCCAGTGCCTTGAGATGTTCGGGGGCAACGGCAGGGGTGGATATGCATAGGGGAGGATGCATCGACCCCCCAATGGCCCATTGATCGCCGATGGGGGCCCGATAGCCCCAACCTGCCCAGGAACGTGCGGGTCGCAACCGTGGGCTTATCGCCGACCTATCGGCGATGCATCGGCGATTACAGGTTGATGGTTCCCCCCTATCGTTGCCCCTCAGAGGGCCTCCGGCAGCGTACCCCAGCGTCCAGCACTTGGTACTAACTCCGCAGCGCCAGCGCGCAGATCGCTCCGCGCCGCTCCTCGGCGCGCCTCGAGCCGTGGCCCATGCTGCACGCGGCGCAGCACGGAGGCCCTGGTGGTCGAGACGTCGACGCCATCGGCGCTGGCATGGAGCTCTCCAGCCAGCTGGGAGGCCGCCCTTCCAGCTTCGCGAGGAGGGCAGGTAGGAGCGCGCGGACGCGCTGCGCTGCCTCGCAGCCCTTGGCGAGCGAGCCCAACGCTTCCTCCGCGATCGCCGCAGCGCCCTTACACCGAGTGCAGACCAGCCGATCTGAGGCTTCCCGCGCCGCACGCCGCGCTGCACCGCGATCGGCAGCTGAACGGTTGCACATTCCAAGGGGTGCCTCCCGCAGCCATCACTCCGTGAGCAAAGAGCCCCGCCCCCATCATGATGGTGTTGTTGTTGATGGTGATGGTGATGATGCTGATGATGATGGTGGTGATGATGTTGATGTTGATGATGATGATGATGATGATGATGATGATGATGATGATGATGATGATGATGATGATGATGATGATGACGGTGGTGGTGGTGGTGATGCTGATGATGCGTTGATGGTGCTGCTGATACTGATGCCGACAACGTCGATGATGATGATCACGATGATGATGCTGGTGATGATGATGACGATATTGATGCTGCTGATGCTGATGATGAGGATGCGGATGCAAATGATGATGATGATGACGATGCTGATTATGATGATGGTGAGCAGGGTGCAGATGATGACGACAGCAAGGACGACGATGATGATGCTGATGATGCTGACGATGCTTATGATGCTGATGATGAATCGGATGATGCTGATGGTGATGTTGATGATAATGCGGGTGGTGGTGATGATGATGCAGTTTTTGTTGATGCTGTTGATGCTGATGCTGATGATGACATGGGTGATGACGCTGATGACGACGATGATGCTGATGACGATGATGCGGATGATGACAATGATGATGCCGCTGATGATGATGCTGATGATTGCGATGCTGATGATGCTGATGCTGATGCTGATGCTGACGATGATTCTGCTGATGATGATGATGATGATTGTGATGATGATGATGCTGATGATGATGACGATTATGATGATGGTAATGATGAGTGTGATGATGATGATGATGATGCTGATGATGATGATGATGATGATGATGATGATGATGATGATGATGATGATGAGTGGTGATGGTGATGGTGATGGGGGGATGACGATGCTGATGATGACGATGCTGATGTTCGTAATGGTGATGGTGATGGTGATGATGATAATGATGATGAAGTTGTTGATGACGATGATTATGATCGTGACGATGATGATGATGATGATGATGATGATGATGATGATGATGATGATGATGATGATGATGGTGGTTGTGGTGGTGGTGGTGATGCTGATGCTCATGCTGATGCTGATGCTGATGGTGATGATGACGACGACGATGATGGTGATGGTGATGGTGCTGGTGGTGGTGATGGTGATGGTGGTGGTGATGGTGATGACGATGGTGATGGCGGTGGTGGTTGTTGGTGGAGGTGGAGGATGATGGTTCATCTTGTTTCGCGGGGTGCACGTCCGGAGCACGTAAAGACTGGGCGTCTGGTGGGTTTCCCTGCGTGTCGCGCCGGTTTGCCGTGTCGTTCTGCCCGGACGGGGTCGCTGCCAACGCCAGTGGGGCCTCTGCAGGGCTTCTGTGAGCTGCTCGGAGTATGTCCAGTCCAGTTCTTTGGAGACCTCTGGAGCCACTCTTGGGAACTCCTGGGGTCTTCTTGGGGGCCTGTTGGAGACTCCCTTGGGGGCCTCTGCGGAATTCCTGGAGGTCTCTTGGGGGTGTGTTGAACCGTCTTGGGTGGTTTCTTGGGTCCTCTTGGAGGCTTCTTGGGGGCCTTTGGGGCTTCTTGGGGGCGTCTTGGGCCGTCTTGGGACGCTCTTGCGCCGTTTGGCCCCTTCGGAGGCTGTCTTAGGTGGCCTCTCGGGGCCGCCTTGGGGCGATCTTGGGGTCCTCTTGGGCTATCTTGGGGGCCTCTGGGACCGTCTTGGGGGCCTCTTTGGGCCATACTGAGGCCCTCTTGGGCTGTCTTTGGGTCCTCTTCGGGGCTTCTTGGGCCGTCTTGGGCAATTTCGGAGGCTGCTTGGACCGCGATGGGCCTCTTAGAGTCGAGAAGGGCGAGAACGTTTGAATGCTTCAAAACTCAATGGAAAATCAATGATGTTGGCCTCTGGAGGCGCTCTTGGGGGTCCTCTTGGGGTTCTCTTGAGGTGTCTTGGGGGCTTTTTCAGCCCTCTTGGGGCCATCCTGGACCGTCTTGGGGGCGTCTTCGCCCGTCTTGAGGACATCTAGAACCGTCCTGAGGCTCTCTTGGGTACCCCAAGAGGGCGAACAGGCCGAAAGCATCGATGTTCTGTAGGTTTTGGTAGGTTTGTGGGCCCGGGAGGGGGGGTCAGGTTGGGTGGACGGATGTGGCGTAGCTCTGGGGGGGGGTTAGGGGGAGACATAATAAAGTAGCACAATACAATATTCACCATTGATGTAAGAACGGGATACATTGCAAGTGCGCAATCATTGGACACATGTGATACGTTGCATTATCGCGTCCGCAGAAAACTCTGCCGCTCAGCACGTCACTTCCGGACGTGGA